ACACACACAAACACACACACACACACACACAAACACACACACACATTCACAGAGATGTCCAGTGAATGACACAGATTAAGTCCTACTCCCTTTTTCACGTGCAGCTTTGTCTCTGCAGTATTATAGCGATGTGATCTTTGTTGTGTGTGTGTGTGTTTGTGTGTGTGTGTTTGTGTATGTGTGTGCGTGTTTGTGGGAGGAGGGGGCTCCTGTGTCTCTCAGCACTTCTCTTTCAGACCTGGCTTAAACCTCGGCGCACGTCAGCACAACTGTAGCGTCCGGACAGGGGCAGACCCCCACCTCTGAAATCTACAGAGTTCAGAGGAACGAGCAGGAAAACCTGTGAAGGTACCTTCACCCAAACTTCCACCAGCAATGTGCTTTTTACTAAAACACTCTTTGTAATGGAAAAAAGGTGAGGTGTGGTGGGAAACAAACCCTCCTGCATGAAGTTTGTGTGTTTGCTTGGAGTGCTTGTAGAACAAGCGAGAACAGGCCCAGCTGTTTCCTCACATACCAGTGAAACCATCCGTCCGTAGCTGAAGCTGAAGATCAAGAGCTGCCAAACAAAATGTGCAAAAAAAACGAAAGGCACAACCTCCAACCCCCAAACAAGCGTTAAATATCTAACCTGCAACAGATGTTTTAAAAGGTACAGTGAGCTTGAGATTGGAAAGTTTGTGTAGTTTGTTGACAGTTTTAGACATTTTATTTTTCAACAATAAATCTAAAGATTTTACACATATCTATAATGTGAATGCTTATTGAGACAATTGTTTTCATGTTTCTCTTTATGCGCACAGTTGTGATTCTTCTCATATTTATTATTTTATTTTGTTTTAATTTTCTTCTTCCGTTCGTTTTTGCAACCAAACTAGTTCTGCATACTTTGTTCTACTAAAGCCGTTATCATTTCTAATTGTAAAGCTCATTCATGTGATGTGACTTTTGGTGCTCCTGCTTGTATGATTTTTAAATATTAATCTTTAATTAAGTTTATATCTGCACAGAGATATAATGAAGACTTGCCAGCAGCTCCAGTATAAACACTGCCGTCATACTGCTGCAGGCTTTAATAACGGGTATAATAATCAGGTCACAATGGTCCAACGAGAACAGTATTGATCTGCATTTTAACATAGATAATCTATTTGTATTCATAAACACCAGAAATAACTTAAATATATGTGTATAAAATGGAGGTTTAAGGTCTGTACAGATGAGAGTGAGTTCTAAGCCACATTTTACTTCCTCTAATGGCCCATTTCCACAGCATGAAGTGTGTGTGTGTATGAAGGGTAAGGGGGCGGGGCTTAGTGTCATCATTCAAGGTAATTATACTAATACTTTAAAAATATCACTCTAATTATTCAATTTTTAAATGAAAAGTAGTCAAATGGTAAATGGACAGTACTTATATAGCACCTTTCTAACTAATGATATAATAATCATAATACTAATACTACTAATAATAATAATACTCAAAGCTCTTTACAACACAATCTGTGCCCTCATTTACCTCCTCACACACCTTCATACAGCACTCTGCAAGATCTCTACAAAGATCATCTGAATCTGTAGAGACTAATCAGAGCTTTAGATTTTAGCTTTACATTCAGAGACCGATGGGACACACATCAGAGACAATGAGGGGTTCAGTATCTTGCTCATGGACACTTTAACATGTGACCGTTGGTGGAACTGATCCCCCAACTCTCCTATTGGAGGACGACTGCTCTAACACTCAGCCACAGTCAAAATCAAACTTGTTTGTTTTTTTGTCATTCACACCTCATGTGGTAAATGTGGTGGAACAAATTGTGTACACAGGGTCCCAGTTACATCTGCCCCATAATAGAAAAGTTTAATAAATATTTGAAATTTATTATTTGTTATTATTTGTTATATTTACCTGCATCATGAAGGACCCCACTCACCCAGCACACACACTTTTTGCCCTGCTCCCCACAGGAAGGAGGTTGAGGAGCATTAAGTGTAGAACCACTAGACTGAGGAACAGCTTCTACCCTGAGGCTGTTAGACTCATGAATCTCTAACTAGAATAATCACTGTGAAAAATCACATCATGTTGCTGCTGATCTGTTTCATGTTGCTGCTGATCTGTTTCATGTTGCTGCTGATCTGTTTCATGTTGCTGCTGATCTGTTTCATGTTGCTGCTGATCTGTTTCATGCTGCTGTGTTCATGCGTGCTCATCTGCTCACACAGACTCATGTTTGTGCTGCTGTTCGATGTAATGTTTTTGTTTTTATTCTATTAGTGCTTAGTGTATATTTAGTTGATGTTTTTCTTAGTTCATATCTTAGATCTTATTACTGTTTTTCGTTTACATTTTATTGTTGGATGTAACTGGGACCCTGTGTATATACAGTGCCTTGTGAAAGTATTCGGCCCCCTTGAACTTTTCAACCTTTTTCCACATTTCAGGCTTCAAACATAAAGATATAAAATTTTAATTTTTTGTGAAGAATCAACAACAAGTGGGACACAATCTTGAAGTGGAATGAAATTTATTGGATGTGTCAAACTTTTTTAACAAATAAAAACTGAAAAGTGGGACGTGCAATATTATTTGGCCCCCTTGCGTTAATACTTTGTAGCGCCACCTTTTGCTGCAGTTCCAGCTGAAGTCTCTTGGGGTTTGTCTCTATCAGTTTTGAACATGGAGACACTGAAATTCTTGCCCATTCTTCCTGCAAAACAGCTCGAGCTCAGTGAGGTTGGATGGAGAGCGTTTGTGAACAGCAGTCTTCAGCTCTTTCCACAGATTCTCGATTGGATTCAGGTCTGGACTTTGACCTGACCATTCCAACACCTGGATACGTTTATTTGTGAACCATTCCATTGTAGATGTGTCTTTATGTTTTGGATCATTGTCTTGTTGGAAGATAAATCTCCGTCCCAGTCTCAGGTCTCTTGCAGACTCAAACAGGTTTTCTTCCAGAATGGTCCTGTATTTGGCCCCATCCATCTTCCCATCAATTCTGACCATCTTCCCTGACCCTGCTGATAAAAAGCAGGCCCAAACCATGATGCTGCCACCACCATGTTTGACAGTGGGGATGGTGTGTTCAGGGTGATGAGCTGTGTTGCTTTTACACCAAACATATCATTTTGCATTGTGGCCAAACAGTTTGATTTTGGTTTCATGTGACCAGAGCACCTTCTTCCACATGTTTGGTGTCTCCCAGGTGCTTGTGACAAACTTTAAACAACACTTTTTATGGATATCTTTGAGAAATGGCTTTCTTCTTGCCACTCTTCCATAAAGGCCAGATTTGTGCAGTGTACGACTGATTGTTGTCCTATGGACAGACTCTCCCACCTCAGCTGTAGATCTCTGCAGTTCATCCAGAGTGATCATGGGCCTCTTGGCTGCATCTCTGATCAGTCTTCTCCTTGTTCCAGATGAAAGTTTAGAGGGACGGCCGGGTCTTGGTAGATTTGCAGTGGTCTGATACTCCTTCCATTTCAATATGATTGCTTGCACAGTGCTCCTTGGGATGTTTAAAGCTTGGGAAATCTTTTTGTATCCAAATCCAGCTTTAAACTTCTCCACAACAGTATCTTGGACCTGCCTGGTGTGTTCCTTGGTCTTCATGATGCTCTCTGAACAGAACCCTGAGACTATCACAGAGCAGGTGCATTTATACGGAGACTTGATTACACACAGGTGGATTCTATTTATCATCATCAGTCATTTGGGACAACATTGGATCATTCATAGATCCTCACTGAACTTCTGGAGTGAGTTTGCTGCACTGAAAGTAAAGGGGCCCAATAATATTGCACGACCCACTTTTCAGTTTTTTATTTGTTAAAAAAGTTTGACACATCCAATAAATTTCATTCCACTCCTCGATTGTGTCCCACTTGTTGTTGATTCTTCACAAAAAAATTAAATTTTATATCTTTATGTTTGAAGCATGAAATGTGGCAAAAGGTTGAAAAGTTCAAGGGGGCCGAATACTTTCACAAGGCACTGTAACCTCATTCTAACACATGTACCACATGTGATGCATATGACAAATAAATCTCTCTGACTCTGATAATTGGACTTTTAGATAACAGTAAGTATTTTTAAAATATGATTTCAATAACGGGCAGCACGGTGCCTCAGTTGGTAGAGCTGCTGCCTCTCAGCGAAAAGGTTACCCCAGTTCAAATCCCTGGTCTGGGGACCTTTCTGGGTGGAGTTTGCATGTTCTCTCCGTGCATACGTGAGTTTTCTCTGGTTTCCTCCCACAGACCAAAAACATGCATGTTAGACTGATTGGTAACTCTAAATTGTCTCTAGGTGTGAGTGAGAGAGTGAATGGTTGTTTGTCTCGTTTGTCTCTATGTGTCCCTGTGATGGACTGAAGACCTGTCCAGGGTGTACCCCGCCCCTCTCACAGTGACTGCTGGACATGGGCACCGGCGACCTCTGCTACCAGAAAAGGAAGAAGCAGGTAAAGATAATGGATGGATGGACAGACAGACGGACAGACGGACGGACGGACAGACGGACAGATGGATGGACAGATGGATGGATGGATCAGTTTAAAGTACCCTGATGACTTCATCCTACTGCAGCCATTTAAAGGTTCAATAGTTTACGACCTCCAGGGGACGATGCTTTGTTTCTAGTTTCTTGTGGAGCTTCTGTGAGAAGCCTTGTTGGTTTCAAATGCTTTTAGGCCCAAATTCAAGAGTGTTTTCAATATGATAATACTAATAATTTTAAACTGAAAGCAGTAGATAAATGTTTAATGTTTAATAGTTAGTTTTGTAGAGATCTAGTAGAGTGCTGTATGAATGGGTAAAGGAGGACATAGATTGTAGTGTAAAGCGCTTTGAGTATCTCAATAAGATAGAAAGGCACTATATAAGTACAGTCCATTTACCATTTACCATATAATAATTTGACTTCTAGTAGTGATGGGCTATCTGAAGCTCTGGGACATGTATAAAAACAACACAGTGCTTCTGAAGCTCTGCAGTGGGGCTGGCCTCATTTGGTAATAGTCACAGGATCAATGACGGTGAAAGCTTTGAAAGTGACGTCACTGCTTTGGTATGGTTTCTGAGAAGTAAATCATGGGACAGATTTGTGGTAGGTTAGTAATGCAATTTGCATGAAATATAACAAACTAGCAAGCGGCATACAGAGGGACATTTGGTTATAGCACTTTAACCCCACGAAAGAAAGGAAAGAAATTTCAGAAAAACACTAAGTATGTTAGTTACCATCTGATCTCACAGGAAACATAAACTGGTTCACTACATAAAGTCATGGAGGCAGGAAACCTGCAGCAGAAGCATCCTTCTGGACTGGTATTGTTATAAAAATATATTATGTATATATACATAACGTATATATATCCATCCATCCATCCATTATCTTTTACCCGCTTCTTCCATTTTGGGTCACGGGGGTTGCTACTGCCCATGTCCAGCAATCACTGTGTGAGGGGCGGGGTACACTCTGGACGGGTCGCAAGTCCATCACAGGGCTACATAGAGACAAACAACCATTCACTCTCTCACCCACACCTAGGGACAATTTATGTTTTTGGTCTGTGGGAGGGGCAGCACGGTGGCACAACTGGTAGCAGCGCCACCGTATATATGTAATTTCGCAGCAAACTTATGATATTGAGGGCCGCACTGGGTTAAACTCGGGAATCTCTGTCTGACGCGTGTTTCCAAACTGACGTCACTCCAGGTCACTTCTTTGTGTCATGATCGGTTTATTCCGTTTCAAATTTCCATGCTTTAAACATTACAGACTGAGACACATACTGACCAGGTCTAAACTATTGATAAATGCTTCATGGCATAACTCTACGGCGTCTTATAACACGGTCAACAGAAAATATGACGACCCCGGGCGCACCCAACTTCCTCATCCATACAAAAGCCAGAACGCCATTCAGCACGTCATTTATATCTGGTGACAGTCAACACACACACACTGACACACCCACCATCCAAGTGTCAAAGCTGCATGCTCACCTGTGAAGCCATCAATTACTTATTTTACTAATATGGCTCTTACATATGTATGTGTATGTATATATATATATATATATATATATATATATATATATGTATATATATATATATATATATAGCTTAGCTGTTTAAATAAAGGTTGAATGAATGAATATGTGTGAGCAAAGGGGTGTCATGCCACGTTTTAAACAAGTTTATTCATCAAATAAACATTATTTCTCCCACAAGAAATAAATGTTCAAGGCCTCACAATGTATTTGCTATCAGACAGAAATAGCTCAGGATTTGAACCAGCAGCTGTCAGCTCAGTCGGTTGGACAAAAAGGATGAAAAGTCTCATTTCATGCTGTGGTTTTAAACTGAGCTTTATAATGTTGGCCACAACATGGCGCCAAAGATGACTGTGTCACAGCTTCAGGTAATGAACCCTTAATTTGAAACAAGCTTCAGCGCGTCAGAAAAGCTTCATTTGCCCGCCGCTAACTTTTAGATTACATTCTTGACATAATAATTTAACCGTTAAACATAATTAAATTAATATTTTTATTTTTCTATATGGTTTAGGTTTGTATGTTGGTTCACTGTCACTTCTGTGGAAGTTCATTCAACCTTTCTTTAGACAAGTAAATCCCATTGAGCCTCGAGGACTCATTTACAAGAGAGACCTGATTTCAACAAAGAATGATGACAACAATGGACAACAGCGACAACAATAGACAAATATAAAAAGTCATACAAAACTGGTCAAAGTGGTCTCCAGCTACAAGTATTTTGGTGTGCACCTGAATGACAACCTCAGCTGGAGCAACAACACCACCAGCCTGATCAAGAAAGCTCATCAGAGACTCTACTTCCTCAGACGGCTGAGGCGAGCTGGTCTGTGAAGCTCAGTCCTCACCTCCTTCTACAGGTGTGCAGTGGAGAGCATCCTGTGCTCCAGCATCAACATGTGGCATGGAGGCTGCACAGCTGCAGAAAGAAAAGCTTTGCAGAGAGTGGTGAAGGCTGCACAGAAGATGTTGGAGTCAGTCTCCCCACCATCACAGACATCTACACCTCCAGATGCAGGAAGAGAGCCACCTGCATCATGAAGGACCACACTCACCCAGCACACACTTTTTGCCCCGCTCCCCTCAGACAGGAGGCTGAGGAGCATTAAGTGTAGAACCACTAGACTGAGGAACAGCTTCTACCCTGAAGCTGAAAGCCCTAACCAGAAAAATCACTGTAATGACACTTTAATTGGTGATTTGTCACTTTATCCATGCTGCTGATTACCCATGCTGCAGATTTCTTACCTTTAAGCTGCTGTATTCATACTCATCTGCTCACAACAGACTCATGTTCAAGCTGCATTTAATACGCTATTATTTTACATTAAGTGTTTAGTGTATATCTTAGATCCTTGTATGTATACCGTTTCTTTTTCTACTTTATGTTTTTGTTATTTTTGTGTGTAACTGGACCTTGAGTCCATAGTTTCGTTCCATCTCATGTACCACATGTCATGTGAATGACAATAAAGAAGCTTGGCCCTTGAACATCCATCATGGTGCAGCAAGTGTATTAAAGAGATGCTCATGCCTCACGCACATATAAAACCAAACCACAACTGCATTCTTTCTGAGTGAAGGCATAGCGCAGAGGACTGCAAACCATCATAAAAACTGCAAAAACAGGAGTCAAACTGCGCAGACAGACTCCAAGTGAGCAAAATATGATTTAAACTGTGCAAAACAGATGCAACGTGTATTTCAATCTCTAATGTAAATATATTAGCGCTCTCTAGTGACAGAAGACGCTTCACTGACGTGAAAGTTAAATATTTGTACAGAAACACTTAAAACATTTCAGCTAGTCTTGTTAGTGAACATTTCCTTAGGGCTCGGACTCATACTGACTCCATCTGAGTACCTTATTTGTTTGTTTTGTTTATTTGTGACATTTTGCCTCACAGTCACTGAAGATGGACCTGTCTTGGCTCCGCCTCCTAAGTTCGTACGTAATTACGTAAGGCGCTGCGTCAGTTGCACGTAAAGTTGTGTTGACAGGGGTGGTAGGAGCAGGAGTTGTCAGCCAGCTTCACCCGACTTGCATGGAGTAATTTACACATATCATCCTACCCAGCGCTTTTGTTACTGCTGTTAAGCGCGTTTCTTGTTGTTTAAGAACCAACTATGGCAGACGAGCAGTCCTCTCAGTCCTGGTCGATCGACAGGGATGACTATGAACTCAATGAGGTGATAGGTGAGTACTAGCTTAGCTTGTTAGCATCTTAGCTTCCCCTGGCTTTACTGCAGCGTTGGCTGTCATCTGCTACTAGCCTCTCTGGCTTTAGGTCTGTAGATAACAAAAGTCAAGTCCCAACCAGTAGCTCCACCAGCAGCCCTGTGGTTTCCCTCTGACAAGGCTAAGAGCCTTAACCTACAAGTTGGAAAGCTAAAGCAGGACTGTCTCCTACCCGAACAAGGAGCTAATGGCTTGCTAATGAAATGTAGCTAGTGTTGTGTTGAAAAAAGGCACCCCTGTAAAAGGCGCACTCGAAAGCAGTTTTTTCACAAATAGGTGAAAATTGGAAGTGACTAAAGCGCTCGTGTCCCCTAAAGACAACATTATATTGATGGGCACAAAACCTTCAAGTTCATGAAGAATCGCGTTTAGATAGGGCGGATCTCTGTGCTCAAATTATACTGCTCCTAAGAAGCCATTCTTTGTCCAAGTTTAAATGAAAAATGTCTTGTCCATATGTGATAATTAATGTTACTGCATTACAAAGTGTGTGCATGAATGTTGTGAACAGTGGAGTTTAACAACAAAATGATCTGAAAGATTAACTTTTTTAAGTTCTGCAACAGCCTTCTCTGTAGGATGTATTATATTCTGAGTGCCAGTTCTTCTCTTCAACGTTCATGCTGGTTCTTCAGGGAGCGGAGCCACTGCAGTTGTTCAGGCAGCGTACTGCAAGCCGAGAAAGGAGAAGGTGGCCATCAAACGCATCAACTTGGAAAAGTGTCAAACTAGCATGGATGAACTGCTGGTATGAAACATAAATAAGCATGAATCACTTTATCTGAATCTGTGTGAGTACATAGCAGTGTTGTGGCTCCATATCAAAGCCAGATCTAAAGTTTAATACCTCTCACGAGGCTGAATACTGGAGCTTATTTCAAATTATCGAGCTCAAATGTGTCACACGTGACATGATATCTCAGAAAAGCTTTTCGTCATTATATTTTTCACATTGAACGTCACGTTTGTTTGTTTTTTACCCACTGTCCACTTTTCTCATTTAAGGAATTGTCATTTTTAAAGCGTTTTTGTGATTAAGCAGTTTGACAAACTGAGGCTCTGAACTTAATGATCCTGTAATTTAGAAAATTGAGTTGTGAAGCGATCACAGTGGGTGGAATGTTAGCAATTGATTAATCCTGTAAAATAAATTCCTCATGGGTCACAACTGTGTTAAATCCTCTAAACCTATTATTCTAGGTAGTATTACAATTAGACTTTTTAAATGAGCTGTAGAAGTCCATTAGTGCACTTTTTAATTTTGTCTTTTTAAACATTGTATGATAAAGCAGAACATCAGATGTTGTTTGGTTTTGTTTTAATCATTAACCATCTGAATTTTTGCTGATTACTGCTTTTCAGACATTGTCATATATCAACATTAGTGTCTATGTTGACATATGTAAACATTTAGTTACAATGTCCCGTCATCGGCTGCAGCTTCACAGTTATGCTGATAATAGGTCCTGGATCCAGGTCCGTCTGTGAACTAGACTGAAATGGGGTTTTGTCTGGCGGGTCCATGATATAACCAGTTTACATTCATTGTTTCTAGCTGTTTGTAATATTATAATGTGGGTACATTCTGTTTAGGACTCAAGAGTTTTGTGAAAACGTACATGTAGGGGTGTCAAACTCTTTTACAAAAGAGGGCCAAAATTAAAAACATATTTTAGACCAAGTGCCAGATTGAGTCACTGCATCAACTCCAGTCAGATATCTTATGGTTTTTTTTGGTTGCAGGTTGCTCAACAAGAGTTCCGTCTCTCATTTTACATTTTCTCTCACTTTTTCTTCATCAAAATAGAAAAACTGATGAGAAGTCTTCACTAAGTAAAGTGCAGTTTTAAAGTAAAATGAGAAGTGAATAAAGTATTTTACTTTTAAGATAGCATCTTGGGGGCCAGATAAGATGTTAATAAGGGTCATATGAGTTTGACACATGTGCAGCAGGAATTTATTGTTTAAATTAAGCCAGATTTCAAATAAGTTCTTAACAAGTGACATTTAAATGAAAAGATTAAATCATGTCCCGAACACAAAGTTTGTGGGAAAGTTTTCATAAATATTTACTTTAAATCTGGTGCAGTTCGTCAAATTTCTGTTCTCTGGGTGACCTTTTTCTTACATTTTTCCTTCTTGTGTAGAAAGAGATTCAGGCTATGAGCCAGTGCCACCATCCAAACATTGTGTCTTATTATACCTCCTTCGTGGTGAAGGATGAGCTGTGGCTGGTGATGAAGCTGCTCAGTGGGGGTAAGTGTCGAAGAATACTAGAGAAACTGTTGAACTGACTTGACTTTGACCAACTTTCAACTTTATTTTTTGCACAAATGTTTTCTGTCACGTCTTCCTTTTATCACAAGTAATCAAAAGCTTGAAGTTCAACGCCTTGTAGTGCACCCCTGCAGAGGTTCAGGAGGTCCAAGAAGTTATGTCAGCATGTCTCGTGACAAGTCTTTGCCCTTTCTCAGGCTCTGTGCTGGACATAATCAAGCACATCATCTCACGTGGTGAGCACAAGAATGGAGTGTTGGACGAGGCCAGCATAGCTACGATGCTGAAAGAAGTCTTGGAGGGGCTGGAGTACCTTCACAAAAATGGGCAGATTCATCGGTGAGTTGTAATCATGAACTGTCTGACATCAGTCCGGCTCTGAGCTTTTTCTCTCTGCGTTTGAGTGTGCCATTTGAACCAGATCTCACTCTTTCAATATTTAATACTGTGAAAATGTATAATTAAGAAGGTTTACTTTACATAAAAGTTTCCTTTAGGAACACATTGAAGCGCCACTGACAAGAGAGCGACTCGTATGAAGAGTGCGTTTGTTTCAAATAACCAGTTTCATTATCAAGGAAAATAAAAAATAAATTGGGGTTTTGTCTGAAACATTAAATGCAGCCTACTGGTTAGCTGGTAAATATTAGATTATGTTGTTTTTGTGAGAAGTTCAGTAGACTGAGCGAGACAGCAGCTGATTGAGCTCAGATGATGATGACTAACTCACCCAGATCTCATCAGGAAACTTAGAGAGAGATAGTCTGAGGCTTGATTCACTCCAGTTCTGTGTGTAGTTTGATCACACTTTACATGAGTCAAAGCAGCAGCTCTGCTGCATTTATTACTGTAAGAAGCTGATTCATACCTGTGCTAGCACAGTCACTGACTTGTGATTTTATCTGTTCACAATGATGTAATTCTTCTCTTCACTCTCAGGGATCTAAAAGCTGGAAACATTCTTCTCGGGGACGATGGCTCAGTGCAGATTGCTGGTATTGTTTGAGTTCTCATCGTTTACCTAATGAGTTAAATAAAATTCAACACTCTTAAGATTTCCAATAAAGAATAATTTGGTTGAAAATATGACTCTTGTAAAATGTATGTACTTTTTTTACACATTTAATATGAAACCTCCCAGACTTTGGTGTGAGTGCCTTTCTAGCCACTGGAGGAGACATGACGAGGAACAAGGTTCGCAAGACGTTTGTTGGGACCCCGTGCTGGATGGCCCCAGAGGTCATGGAGCAGGTATGAAGGTTTCTCTCCCTCTATTTTTTGTGATGGCTTGAAAAATAAGTAAAGTGCTACTTTTGATTTTGCTGTGTGGCTGTACCTAGGCATAAGAAAGGTCACTCTGAAAATTGGGTTGCCACGTCAAAATCCAAGATGGCCCACACCAGTAAACTGACCACCCCTTTCATTTGAGGAAACTACGCTTTCTATTTTTATATTGACAAAAAGTATAGTTTCTTCAAAATGATTGGGGTGGCCGAAGATTAACCTATGTTGGTCAAGGCCACCATTGGCTCCCCCGTGGCTCCTCCACTGAAGCTGCTCGTGGATCAAATTGTTCCCTCCTTTCTCCAGAATCCGTCCCTCTCAAACCTCAGTGACAGGGGACACTGGTGTACTGCTTGTAATATCTGTTTTACCCTCCTGAGGTTTTGAATTGAAAACGTTTTTCATGCGTCATAATTGTGACCTGCAGGTCCGTGGCTACGACTTCAAAGCAGACATTTGGAGTTTTGGGATAACAGCAATTGAACTGGCCACCGGGGCAGCGCCGTATCACAAATACCCACCAATGAAGGTAACAGTCCAGAACATTTTTATGACTCATTTATATTTGTATTTCAGAGGTTTTCTTTTTTAAGACAACATATTTTTTAAAAGCTCCAATAATGCTGAACCATGTTCCAGTTGCATTTAGGAAAACCAGAAGGCTTTATAAAAGTTGTGCTCATTATCTAGGCCAGTGGGTTCCAACCCTGATCCTCGAGGAACACCTGCATGTTTTAGTTGTTCCTCTGCTCCATCACATCTGATTCAGTGATTAAATGACTTCATCAAGTTTTTCAGAAGCCTGTTAATCACCCATCCATTCAAACCAGGTGTGTCAAAGCAAATAACTAAAACATCAGGATGGTGTTCCTCAAGGACCAGGTTGGGAACCTCTTATCAAGGCTAACTGCTATTAGCAATACAAGCGTATAACAATGTTGTTCAAATGTTATATCAACAGGTTGGACTTCATTATGTGGGATTACTGAGATACGAGCTAACAACAAAAACAAAAAGTTTAACAAAAATAAAAAGTTTATCACAGCTTTTCATGTGTCAGGCAGCCATATTGGATTTTGAGTTCAGGGTTGGTCAGGAATCTGTGACTTTAAAGGTGTTCCAGTTAATTTTTCTCACTTGGAATTTGGAAATTCTCACTTCAGAGCACAAATAAATCCCTCCAAACGTTTGTTTACCAAGCAGCTGATTTTTAGTTTTTATCTTTTTGTATCCAGGTGTTGATGCTGACTTTGCAGAATGACCCCCCTACTCTGGAGACGGGTGTTACAGACAAGGAAATGGTGAAGAAGTATGGCAAGTCATTCAGGAAAATGCTGTCTTTGTGTTTACAAAAAGATCCTGAAAAAAGGTCCGTTAGTCTTAGACGCTTTGCATTTCCATCAGATGTTCAGGTTGTGTCTCAAATGTAACGAAGAGCTCTCTGTCTCAATATGATTCAGGCCATCTGCTGCAGAATTGCTCAAGCACAAGTTCTTTACAAAAGCCAAGGTGAACTACGCAGTACTAGCATGAAAACAGTTTTTGCACGTTTTAAAAACACTACATTGTGCTACAAGTCTGTGTCTTACTTTGGCAGAACAACGAGTTCTTGCACGAGAAGCTCCTAATGAAAGGTCCCACAATATCAGATCGATCTAAAAAGGTTTGACTCGCTTCACTTTGCTAATGTTTTAGAAAAATTCAGCATTCTGGGGATAAAATGAACTTCTGTGTTCAGGGTGTGCCCCAGTGCTGTCTGGACTAAAGCATGCTGGGATATGCAGAGCTGACGGATAGTCAGTGTTGACTTCAGACTTTTCTTTAATTCTATGTGTAGGTGCGTCGTGTGCCTGGCTCGAGTGGCCGTCTCCACAAGACGGAAGACGGGGGGTGGGAGTGGAGCGACGACGAGCTGGATGAGGAGAGCGAGGAGGGAAAAGCTGCTGTGGCAGCTCTGCGGGTGAGACTCTGCATGCCTGTCTTCTGTCAGCCCAGTTTAATTTATAGGGCTGGCTCTGTGCAGCGTCTTGCCGACTGCAGAGCTGTTGTGAACATTGATTTTTAAACAAGCAGGCATTTACTTTTGCTAAAGCCTTTTAATTACTGTACAGTTTATCTGGTTGAACTTGCCTAAATCATGACAAACTGCATTTTTATTCTACCCAAAGTAAATGGTAAATGGACTGTACTTATATAGCGCCTTTCTACAGTATCTTATTTCAAGATACTCAAAGTGCTTTACACTACAATCTGTGTCCTCATTTACCCATTCGTACAGCACTCTACTACATCTCTACAAAGCTAATTGAACAAATCACTCTAATGAGACTAATCCGTGCTTTTACTGTGTAAAAACTCATAAATCTTGTTAAACATAGGTTGTTTTTATGGTTATGTCCAAAAATCCCAAGCCATCATTGTTTAATGAGTTTGCAAAATGCACAACTGTATTTCATAAACTAAAATAATGCATTCTGGGTAAACTGACTATAAAACCTGCTTGAATCCCTTTCAGTGTGTTCACATTTAAAATGATGTCTTGGTGTGGGTTCTGCTGTCCTCTGTCCTGACTGATATCCATTTTACTCTGTGCCCAACTTTCTCAATCCTACAACACTCCCATCGGTTCATATGCTGAGGGGATAAAAGAATAATTGCATGTATTTGATCCTGACAATCTGTCATGTCCA